CGTTGCCACGCGCAGGTGGCGGCGAAACGCGCGAGGGTCTGCGCGGCGCGCAGCGGGAACCCCTCCGACTCGACCCGCTCCGCCAAGACGAAGATGTTATCGAGCTGCCAGGGCGCGGGCACCACCGCGCCGCGGACGGCGAGCATGTGAAACAGCTGCAACACCCCCCCCCCGATCGGGAGGTTCCGCCGGGCGATGTTGCGCAGCCGGCGAAGGGTGGCCTCGCGGTAGCCGCCGAACGGGGGGTCGAGGAGAAACCCCCAAAGCGGATCCCCGGGCGAGGCGCCGCCGGATCCCGCGCCGCCCCCCTCCATCGATCGCGCGCTCGCTCGAAGGCTGGGGTGTTTCGTCGCGGACTCCATCCCCCCACTCGCGTTCAGCCCCGCCGGGGACGGGCTCGGCTCCGGGTTGTTCAGACTCAACTCCACGGCGTGGATGCCCTCCTCGGAGTCGGTGATCTCCTGAAAAAGGCTCTTCAACTCCAGCACGAGCGCGGTGTGCTCGGAGGGCACCGAGGCGTAGTGATCCATCAGCATATGCCGCGTGCTCGCCAGCGCGGCCTTCGCGCGTTTGTACTGCTGCGATGCCATCAACGCGACGCTGTAGAGGATATTCAGCGAGATCTCCCCGTTCAGCCTCAAATCGGAGCCCCCGGTGATGTGCAAGGCGCGGGCCTCGATGGTATCGGGAAACCCCCCGCCCCGTTTCCCCGCGCGGTGGTTGAGCAGGCGGTAGTGTGTGATCGCGTCCTCGACGACATCCCACCGCGAGAGCGCCGCCGACGCGTGCGCGACGTGGTGGGTGATGCACGACAACACCATCCGGACTCCGGGATAGGGGCACCCCCGCATCCGCGAGGACGACGAACCCCTCGAAACGGAACCCCTCGGCGACGACCCCGACGCCGACAACGAGGAAGAGGAAGAAGCGTCGTCGTCGGGGTCGGTTCCGTCGTCGGGGTCGGGGTCGTCCGTGGGGCGGTCGCCCGGGTTCATCACGCAGCGATGCACGCGATCCCGCTCCCGCGTCCACAACTCGACGACGGATTTGAGGTCCAAACACGCCATATGGCAGCGAATCACGCCGAGGATGGCCTCCCAGTTCGCCCGGCTCGAATCCCGCGCGACGGCCTCGCGATGCAGCCGGAGGGCCTCCGCGGTGAACCCGAGGAGCTCCATCAGCACCGGGACCTTCTCGGGAACCTCCCGCTGCATCGCGGCGAACACCACGGCCCGGCGAGGGGGGGGGGTGCTAAAATACTCCAATAGCATCGCCGCGACGCGTTCGTCGCGGCTCCGCGTCTCCTGGCCGGCCTTCCCGCGAAGCAGCAGGCGGAGATCCTCAAGGGTGAAGCAGATGTTCAGCGCCCCATCCCCGGAGTCGTGCGTCGCGTGTTTGAGCATCAGCGCGGAGACCCACGAAAACTGCCCGGTGATCCCCTCCTCAATATGAAAGAGCATCAACGAAGGGTGCATCGCGTGATAGGCGAGCTTCGCGACGAACTCCTCGGGAAGCACCGCATCGATGATCTCCACGCGAACGTAATCGGAGAAGATATGACGATAAAGTCGGATAAAATGCCCCAGACGCGCCAGCTCCACCGCGATGAAGTGGGGAACGCGGGCGTGGTAGCGGTAGAAATCCCGCAACGCCTCCACCCACGCCCGGACCTCCTCGACCGTCAAAAACACCCAATTCGAGAGAAAACTCAACGGAAGGAGGTCGGAGTAGACGATGTCGAATTTATGTCGTTCGATGAGCTGCTCACAGGCCTTCACGCTGAACTCCGGGCTCAGCTCGACCATCCGCGTGCAGAGGACCTCAAACCACTCCCGCCACTCCCCGTTGTCGAGGTGGGGGTGAATCAAAAAGTGCATCAAAAGTGCGCCGTTGCCCGTTTCCTTCGCGGGTTGTGGGAGTTCGGAGTGGGAGGAGTTCGTTTCTGCCGCGAAGGAGCCGCCGACGGCGGTGGATGGCGCGGGTGGGGCGATCGGAGCGGGAGGATCCCCTGCCGAGGCCGCCAACGCATCCCCCTCCACGGATGAAAACGAAAGTGGAAAGAGCAACTCCTCATCCGCGGGCCGCCACCCCCCCCCTCCTACCCACCCCGCCTCCGCGCAAACCACCGGAATCGACCCCATCGCCGAGGTCTCCCGCTCCGCCTTCCACGAACGCATGGGATACGCGGGGAGGCTTTGCGGGGCTCGCCGTCGCCCGCGCGTCCCCTCCCCGCCGTCGTAGATCGAAAATTTGCCGAACAAATCGGAGGTGCTGCGCAGCCACCCCCGCACCTGTCTCGCGTC